CCAGATCTGTGACTTAATTATTGTCCATGATTACCCACTCCTTATTCTTCAACAAATAGATCAAGGACCCGTCCTCATAATAGTGGACAAGGTCAACGTAGCGGATGTGGCCGCCAAGATGGTGGTGAGGGCTTCAGAACTTGTCGTCGAAGACATAGATAAGATCAGCGGTAATGAAACGGTCATTGAAGCCGAAGGGGGCGGAGGTGGTGGTGTCAGAGAATAAGAAGATAGTGGATTTGGATTCTAGGGTTTGGGAATAGAATATTGTGAAGTAATAGAGAGATCAATATCTATAAAAAAAAAGAAAAAAGAAGATAAATGGAAACACGATATCGGAGTGGAAGTCGATGGTGGCGCTGAAGCGATTGTCGGAGAGGAAAGAAGCGAAGGTAACGGTGTCGGAGAGTGAGGAAATGGTGGATTTGGATTTTAGGGTTTGAGAAGAAAGAGATCAAAGAGATTAGAGAGATAGATGAAAAAGAGAGAAAAGAAACCCACGTATGTGAAGAGAGAAGAGAGAAGAGTAAAAGTAAGGTTGGTATTTTTTTTGAATAAAATAGAAGGAAAGGATGTGAAGGACCTTATCTAATAGAAAAACATTTATGGACCACTCCTACTAGCCAAAGTTAGAGAGTGTAGCTCAACTTTTTCATGCCCCCTTTTGGAGAGCTCGAATTGGTTCTACAGTTCGGACTCCTGTCACGGTTCTGAATCTAGTCTCACAAGTGCAATGTGAAACTGATAATTACCAAAGAGTCCAATCCGGCAAATCATTTTGGAAAATCGATTTTGAATCAAATAATGCCAAACTGGACTATTTTGCCAGATTACAGAGTCGCCACCTAAATATTTTATTTTGAAAAAATTTACGAAACCCTGACTCATGTCAAAGGCCACATGTCCGTCATCACCAAAGTTGCCTCGGCTTGGGAACTTGGGTACGAGAGAGGAAGGTCCTGAAATGAACACCCCCACTCGCCTGATCGAACATCAGCCTCTACTATCATGATATGTTATTTTATAAACCTCGTGTGTTCTTATTCTAGTTATTAGCTAACTTTACTATGTGACGCACACAAGCAAGTATAGACTAAAATCGCAAGAATTAGAACGAATTCACTTCATGTTTGTTTTCAAAAATTGTTTGAAGTTGCCACCCTAAGTGGGCTTAAAACATGATTTGCCACTTCGCAAAGTGGGCTTGAAACATACATTTGATGAATTGTTCCAATTCAAGCAATCAAAGCCTTTATCCACAGGCATTCATGCAGTTAATCATTTAAGCAAACAGCCTCATGGCAAGCATGCGAAACATGGCAATATGGCAATCACACTCATGCAAGCATGCTAAAGCATAAAAACTCACCAAGTACTCTAAGCCAAAACAAAAACTAGTTAGAAAGATGCATGATCCTAACTATACAAGATGTCTAATGCAACACATGCAATAATGCAATTAATAGGTTCGGCTACTAATATGGCATACGATTCAATTTGATAACATGCTTTTAAACACGTATTCAAAGAAGTGTATTGAATTTGCGATGCAGTTCGAATGACGCGCCGAGCCTCGGTACATGCAAGACAAATGAATGGATGCAAACATGTGAGCATAAGGTATGCTAATCAAAACATGTCCCTAATCTAACCATCAAAAGTGGGTAAGTAAAAGGGAGAAAGACGTGGGGTTGGAAGACATGCACACACACATGCACACTTATTACAACATTGCGCCCTTGCGAAGGAGGGTCCGAATGAATAATTAGCTAAATTAAGCTAAGCTAATTAATCTAACTAATCTAATTAAACTAATTAGACTAATTAATACAAACCAAATGAATAACTAGCAAACTACTAATTATTACAACACTTTAACTAATTAGCAAACTAGTTAATTAAATTACAACACAAACTAATCATGCGAAATATCTAAACCACACTGCCATAACTTTGCTTCGGGAAGTGGAGGATGCATGCACTTGGTTTTTGCCCCAGAAAGTCCTCCAAATTGCTTTTGAGAGGCTCTGTTTACAGGGTTGAGCACATTTCAGAATCTTTCTGCTCCACCTTACCAATTCAATGCTGAGGATTACACCAGTGGCCTGCCGGCCATGGTTGGTTGCTGTCGGCCAAAAGTGTGCCTTGCCGGCCAAGACTGAACAACTGCCGGCCACCAACGAGCCACTGCTGGCCACTGGTGTTCTGAATCACCACACTGCAACATAGCACAAACAGAGGAAAATGAAGGATTTTCTAGGGGTATGTTTGTACTATACCTCTTCTTATCATCTTAAAACATCAAAGGAGTGACACTCTTGGATCCAAAACCACCAATCAAGCAATTTCATTGCATAATGGCTAAAGATCCAAGTTGTACGATTTCAATAAATGCACAAATATGACATAAAGGACCACCACCCTATAATGCATGATCAAGGGTGATCGAGACAAAGGAGATTAGCTTATTTCATCACTTTGAGTATGAAATGCTCCAATCTTCCTTGTGTTCAATATAATGTCCGATCGAACACATGTAATGCAACACAACAATGCTTATCTTGCTCAAGTTTTACTTATCATTTTTATTTACTCATTTTAATTACCAACTCATTCTTTGGTCAATTTAGTCCATGGTGAGAGTCCTCTAATGGGAGAGGTGTCAACCAAGGAATGACTTAAAATAAGAGAGAGATTATGCCTTTGGTTAGTAGAAACCCTTCAAAGAGGATTAAAACCATTAAGTACAAGTCTCAATCTCAAGCTTAAACACAACCCTAAGGCTAACCAACCCTCAAAGCAAATGAAAAAAGTGATGAAATGAGGGAGGTTGTAGAGATTGTATGTGCTGAAATTACATACAAAATGACATTACAACTTGCAAACAACTTGTGCAAATCATGTTTAAAAGCCAAAAACACCAAACTAGTGAGGAGTCTTAAAACATGTTTGAAGTAAGCTAAAAATAGTTAGAATAAGAAGCCAACACATAGCACAAACTAGACTATTAAGCATAATTGCACTACAAGCATACAAAGCAAGCCTCAAGTGACTTAACCAGTCCTAAATAGAGGTAAGACAAGTCAAAATAGTAGCAAAAATATGCTGAGATCAAGTCATAAAATGCTAGAAAAACATGGTCACATGTTAAGCTATCTACACATGCAAACAAGACACAAATAAGGGAGGCTAATCCCTCCACTTTTGGACTTCAAAACAGAGTTTTTGCCATTGAAATTACTCTGATTTTCAGTGGTTAGAAAGGCCAAAAAAGTTTGATTTAAACAACCTTGAAAAATGGCACAACAACTTAGCAAGCAAACTACAAGAAGGGTGGACCACCCCTAACTCCAATCAAACCTCAAATCACCATTTTAATCCATGAAACAGAGATTTTCAGAGGTTAAAACTAGCCTCAAAATAGTATGTGAAGATGGCAAAACAAGTATTTAAATTAAACTTAAAACACAAGTGTTCTACCTCTTGAAGACAAGATGCAAACTAGACACCAAAATCAAACCAAACCAAGCCAAAATCTTCTTCTAGAGCTCAAAGAGGGCCTCAAGTGGCCTTAACTCAATGGTGATCAAGTTTGATCAAGGGTTTGTATGCAAGAGTGTAGAGAATTTAGGCTATAAGGCACAAAATATCAAGAGAAAGAGAATTATAGAGAGAGAGAGAGAGATAATTTTGTCTTCAAAATTTTCTAACCCCCCCACATGCAAGAGGGGGCTTTTATATATAGAGAATGCAAAATCCGCTTAAAGAGATCCAGCCATACACGTGCAAGCAGATGGCTCAATCTGTGCAAATAGCTGTCATAAAATATCAAAAAATATCTACTGATACACTGGTAGCCGGCTGACCATCAGTGATGGCTAGCAGGGGCTCATTGATGCCCGACATGGCACATCAATGGTCGGCAGGCCAAGCGCCATGGCCAGCAGTGCCCCAGGATGGCCGGTAGGCTATCAACAACATCATGCTGAAGGGGCCTACACAAGGTCCAAAGATGAGACAGAATGGATACAGGATTTGGAAAACTCAAACCTGTGGCGTTCCGCCGCGGACTTCGAGTGCTCAACGAGCAACCAAACTCATCATCAGATGTATCTGCAAGAACATCCAAGTCTTGAAGACGATAAAAAATGGGTTGTCTACAGAGAGATGTTAGACTAATTTTTCCAAAAAAATTTCAGTAAAAACAAACAAAAAATCATATAAAAATTATTTCTAAAAACTGCAATCAAACAATATTTTAAAAATTTTAAAGCTCGATCTAAAAAAAAAAAATTTAAGGTTGTGTTTGGTGTGAGTTTCAAATCAAATTTCTATCCTTATATTTGAATGTTATGGTTGGTTTGAGTTTTGAAATTATGATTCTAAATCAATTTCAAAACATATTTTGAAAACATATTTGGTAAACAAGACAATTTTTGAATTTTTGGTCTATCCAGTCGTCCGCCTGCATGTCCGGCCAGTTGATCGGAACAGTACAATTTTATTTATATTTATTATTATTATTATTATTGTTTTGCAATTGCCAATTGTCCCTTGTTATTTAGAGAAAAAAAAAATTTATATTTGTTTTTGATATTTTTTAAATATACAAATTATTTTTTTAGACCAAAATAACAAATAAATTTTTTGAATAGAATTTTAAAAAGAGTTTGGTTATGAGTTTTGAATAGAATTTTAAGAGAGTTTTGTGTTTAATTATGAGTTATAAGTTTTTGAATTAAGTTTTAAAATCTCTTTTCAAAACTTATAACCAAATAATTTTTTTCATTTCATATGCTATATCAAAAATTTAAAATTCAATTCAAAACTCATACTGAAATAAATTTTTTCTTTTCAAATCATAATTTCAAAACTTACAAACTTAAAATACAATTATATTCCCAAATCATAATTTTAAAACTTTATCAAACACTAACTAAATTTTTTTATTTAAAAAGTAATATTGCGTTGTAGCTTTCATCGCTCGCTTGTTTATCGATTCCAGAGTCGATTCATTCTTCTCTCTCGCTGTTTGTTTGTTTTTTTTATAGTGCCTTCGAGTTCGAACGTGAATTTCGATTACAACATTATTGTTCTCTCGCAGAGTATCGGTTTCTCATATTCAGTCTCCAAAACGTCACACTTTTAGGCGATTCTCATCTCTCGTCTTCGAGATTGCTCGGCTCTATTTTACTCTCGTATGCGCAAATCAACAAATCAAACTGCAGAATGATGTGGTGGTTCCAGAATCTAGAAGGCAAACAAAATTAAGTTATGGAAATCATATATAATTAACCTTGCTTAAGGCTGCGTTTGGTTTACGGATTTGGAAAGGGAAATGAATCTCTTCCCAAATCATAAACCGAACACAACCTAATGGATATTTTTACACAATGGTCAGTGACTATTTTCAAATCTCTTCTTCTTTGTTGTTCATGCCAGTATTCATATTAATCTTCCATTAGCATTGTTTCTTGTATGATTTAACTAAATTGGTTGAAATTTTTGAAATTATATGTGAACACCAATTTTGCTAACCACACTAGTTCTGTGTCGTATTGGTTCTTTGTATTGTGTCTGTAAATTTGGGTTTGATTCGCAGTCTTTTTTTTTTTTTTAATTTAATTTTATTTCCATTCTTACCCACTTATAATTCTTTCAGAATCTGTGGTTGCCTTAAAACGAATGCCCATTGTTTTCTTTCACAAGTTTGAGTGTTGTCTTTTTTGAAAATATCATGATTAATGATATTTGTGTGCTGCCATGTATCTTCTTGTAATTCTTGTAAAGGATCTTTACAGTGGTTCTATTTGTAACCGGTGGATATAATATTGGGATCTTGAAGTCGTGTTTTTTATAGGGTTGACAAATAGATTATTGTTCTCCCTCGTCTGTAATAGTTGCATACAAGCAGTGTATTGCATGTTTGATTCTAACTGATATGTTTTGCGGTGCTGCCAATTATTTTATTCACATGAAGTTGCTGATTTTCGTTTTTCAGAAAGTGTGCCTCAATTAGATTTGCATTTAGAGATTGTGTTTACATTTTATTAGGATTCATATTAATATCTCAAGGCAGTTTGTTATTAGAAATGGACCTTGATGATTATGATATGATTTGTTTTCTTTGTCCCTCATGACAATTTTTATTGCAATATTAATCTAGCTCTATATTATTGTTGCAACTTGGGGATTACTTAACTATTTGTTTGTTCGTCTTAGATTGGAACACCAAACAATAGTTACTGTTTTTCTGTACTTCACTAAATTAAGGTTTTTTTTTTTTTTTTTTTTTTTCACCCTTTTGAGTTTCAGGGTAGTTTTTGGGAAAGATCTGTTGTGACAAGGAAAAACTACAGATTGACAAGGCTAGAACAGTACATGAATTATGAGAACATCTTTTCATGAGGCAAACTGTAGATAAACTTGCTTGTTTTTTCTTAGTTTATATGTTCATAGTTAATGAATTAGAAATTATTATTCTTTGATGATGATTATGTTGATTCATGAATTAGAGGGCATACTATACATGGTCACTGTGGATCACATTTGGGTTGGAATTTGAAGGGGAGGTCAGATGGTTGCAGTAGTGAGACTGGTGGCAGTCGTGGCGGTGGAGGAGATGGGGTTTGTGAGGGGACCAAAATTGTTGTTGTGGACCAAGGGATGGTGGTCATAGTAAACAAGTAGTAAGCTTAGGGATGACTGGGGGAGGATAGTGGTAGCTGCTGCTGGTGGAGAAGGGGGCCAGCGAGCGTTTGCATGTGATTTAATATACTGTTTATTATTTTTGTTTTGTGCGATTTTTTTCTTCTTTTGAAGACATGGTGAGCCTCCTTTTTGCTTTCAAATAAATTTCTTTAACATGTTCTTCCTTTCATGTTGTCTTCTCTTATGTAGACCAGTTTATTGCATGAGAAAAGAAGATCTGTTGCCTACTGTGCATTTCTCTGCCTTAAGGTTTGGTTTTTCTTGGCTTTTTAGACATGGGCTCTTGCTTTTTTAGTTTTTCTCTTATGCAGATCACTTCTTTTCATAAACAAGAAAAGGTGTCTGCTCTGCATTTCTCTGGTTGAAGGTATATTTGTTGTGTTTGTTTGTTTTGTTAGCTTGCTCGTTTAGTATGTAGCCTGGTTATACATGCATAGAAAAATAATTAAATAAATTTTTCATTTATTTATCAAAAGGAAATAATATGGAGGGTTCTAAATTAGATTTTTTTGGGGCTTTACCTAGTATAGAAACTGGTTCTAAGCTATGAAGCACTGACTGCCACCCCCAAATCTGGGCATGCCCGGCCGTGGCCCACATGGCTTTAGCCCAAGGCACACGTAAGCCAACATGAAACAATAACCATATAAAATAAAAGCAATAGTAGGCCCTTGACATAAATAAATCAAAATAGGATCTAGCCACAAGTGACAAGGGTAACTTGGGTAAAACAAGCCCTAATCAATACCATCCATATATCCAATGGGACACAAACAACCCACATAGCAAAATAATCCTAAATGAAACTCAACCAAAATGTATGCATAAAGTCGACATAACAAGCTAAAACAAAATAAACGAATGTCCTGGTGGTCCATGCAATTGAGTCCCCATTACGTCATGAGTTCACTCTAAGTCCTTCTATCACCTGGAAATGTTAAACATAGGGTTGTTTGGTATCTTTGATATTAGTACAATTTTTTTTATCTTTTTATTTATTTTTTCATCACCTCATCTCTTTACTTTTTTGCACATCTTTTCGTAAAAAGTCAAAAAGTGTACTTATTTATATTTTCCCAAACAATCTCTGATAGCTTAGTGAGTAGAAGCATGGATAGTAAAATATAGTTTCGAAAATCGGGTTCAATTTCAAAATAAGATTGTACATAACAAAAACTAGATTGGCATATAATTTTGATAAAGACAATTTGATTCAAAAAGAAGGTTCCACATTTTATCAGTTAAAAATATTCATGTCTCTCAATAACATAACAAGGGACGTTCTCCACTTAAAAATAGACAATAGCATAATCATCATCATTATCTAGGTATCAAGCAGAACTTGTAGCATGCCACAAAGTTCTCAAGGCAATAAGCCTGTTGGATCTAATATCAAACCAAGAATCATCCTTAGGGTGGCAACCCGTACCTTTTCTCTAAGACGATCCGATTGAAGGTCAACTAGCCTAGCCTAGGTCTGTTTCTTACAATCGTTGAGTACTAGAGTCATCACAGTCTAACCCGGATCTGTTCCTTAGTGGCCAGAGTCACCACACACAGTGGAATAAATTCTCTAGACTTTTATATATAAATGGTCCCAATAATCAATATAATTCAGTTTCGTAAAACATGGTAGTTCACCATTATAAACATGAGACCATAACAAATTGTTTATAGTAGGCCAAGTTTACACATGTTTTAGAAATATCTTAGTTCCAATAATATAATAATAATTTAACCAAGGTTGTTTGGTCATGAAACAACAATTTACTTTTTAAATTGTTTTAGGGAAAATGAACATTTATAAAAATACGTAACATGCAACTACTCACCTGAAAACGAAATAATATAATCCTTGAACCAAATGCAAAAGTCCAACTAGTGCCCTGAACAAAGTACGAAAACTACATGTCACTACTAACTCAAAAATACTAAAATGAATTATAAACTTAGTAACTCTAAGCTAAAGCGCACTAATACGGCTCCACACAACTCACCGTTACTCTTAAATAATATCTAAGTTTATGTTCTTCAAGGTCCAAAATTACCCAAGACATGGGTTGCGGGCGAAACTTAATTAACTGTCGCTGTGAAATAACACCGAATTTTAAACAGGTTTTTTTAATCTATTCGCTAACCTTAAAAATTGAAAACCCACTGTACATCATTCAAACATTTTTCGAAACCCTCCATATATCAACTACTATGTCTTAAGTTTCAAACCCAATTGGTTTTACTCGATTTGCTCATCAAAAGTACTATTTACCATTAATTATGTACAAACAGGTCGTTTTCTGCAGCACCCCAAAGAATTGATGGTTCTCTTAATATATACGAGCAATCAACGCAAGGCCAAAAATGTAAGAAACTAGACTCGTAACCGGTGTTAGGATCAAACACACCCAGAAAATTATCTCACACACACAGAGAACACAATATTTACTTGGTTCGGCTCAATGCCTACGTCTATGGAGCAGAAATGAGAATTTTCACTAAAACAGAGCAAAAAATACAAAATGGAGGAGTATCTCACTCTCTCTACTCAACTCTAAGCTCTCATACACTTCTCACAACTCTCTTTTTTTCTAATACAATCCATTCTCTCCCTCTCGTCTCTATTTATACACAAAGAGAGATATACCAACCCACCAAAAATTTATACCCTCTTTAATGGTTAATGGTGAGTGTCAACATTGGAAAAAACGTGAAGAGAAGGGAGAGTTTTGTAGATGCCCAGCTCAGACTTTCACTTGAGGTGGAGGTCCTTGTACACCATCTTCTTTGACCCTCTGCTTGCATGCATGGGTTTGGAGCAACAATTCTCCCTTTCCATAACCACATGCGTGACTGACTTCTCACTTGAAGTCTATCCCAGCAATGTCTCTGCAAATTTCGAGTTTGTCTCTCAAGACCACCTTTGTAAGCATGTCAGCTGGATTCTTATCTGTGTGGATCTTGATCAGTTCTAACAATTGCTTGTCCATCACTTCGCGTATCCAATGATATCGAAGATCAATGTGCTTTGTGCGAGAATGGTGCATTAAATTCTTGCTCTGGTCTATGGCGCTCTGGCTATCACAAGGTACCATGAATTTTTCTTACTTTAATCCCAACTCTTGGAGAAACTGCTTTAACCACAACATCTCTTCCCCAACTTCCGCTGCGGCAATATATTCTGCCTCGGTTGTGGATAAAGCAACACACTTTTGCAGCTTGGACTGCCAAGACACAGGTCCCCTTGCGAAAGTGAACATAAATCTTGATGTAGATCTTCTACCATCAAGATCTCCTACCATATCTGAATCCGTATAGCCTTCCAAGACTGGTTTAGCATCTCTAAAGTACAAACACATTTTTGTCGTACCCTTGAGGTACCTCAGAATCCACTTGACTACTTGCCAATGCTCTTTTCCTATCCCTGGATTGGAAAGGAAATTGCTTACTACTCCAACAGTATGAGCAATATTTGGTTGGGTGGACACCATTGCATATATCAAACTCCCTACGGCGGATGAGTAGGGAATAGCTTCCATTTCTTCTCTTTCTTTTGTAGAGAAGGGATAAGAACTCTTGCTCAGCTTGAAATGATTAGCCAGCGGAGTATTGACTGGCTTGGCATCTTTTATGTTGAACTTCTCAATCACCCGTTCAATGTACTTTTCCTGTGATAGCCACAACTTCTTGGCTTTCCTGTCACGCACAATTTTCATGCCCAAAATTTGCTGTGTAGGGCCTAGGTTCTTCATGTCAAAGGATTGTGATAACTCCTTCTTCAGTGATCTGATTGCTGTGGCATCCTGTCTAACGATTAGCATGTCATCAACATAGAGCAGGAGTATGATGAAGTTTCCACCGGGAAATTTCCTGCATAAACACATTGGTCTGCAGCAGTTCTCTTATATTCATGACCCACCATGAATGAGTCAAACTTCTTGTACCATTGTCTCGGCGCTTGTTTGAGGCCGTAGAGACTCTTCTTTAATTTACAGACTAAGTTTTCTCTCCCTTTGACTTCAAAACTTTCTGGATGTGAATTTCTTCCTTCAGATCACCAAGAAGAAATGTCGTCTTCACATCCATCTGTTTAAGTTCCAAATTCAAACTGGCTGTTAGTCCCAAAACTACTCGAATGGATGTCATTTTCACAATCGGCGAGAAAATTTCATCAAAATCAATACATTTTTTCTGCCCAAAACCTTTGACAACCAATCGGGCCTTATACTTGACTAGCTTCCTACTGCCATCTTTCTTCAACTTGAACACCCATTTGTTCTTCAATGCTTTTCGACCCTAGGGAAGTTTCACCAAATCATAAGTCTGATTCTTCTACAAAGACTGCATCTCTTCTTACATAGCTTGTTGCCAGCTACTTTTCTCTTTATAATTCTGAGCATGTTGAAAACTTTCTGGCTCCCCCTCATCAGTAAGCAAAATATACTCAGAAGCAGGGTATTTAGATGACGGCTTAGACTCTCTTGTTAATCTTCGCAACTGTGGACCAACAGTCTCTAGCGGAGGGGGTTGTGACTCCCCCTGCTTAACACCCTCTACTTCTGGATCTTCTTTTTCTGGAAATCCATCCTGCAACTCTACATCATTGGCTACATACTGTGGTAGCTCTTCTTCATCAGTGGCATGCTGTGATAGTGCAGGATTTGGAATAATTCCTGAAACATCATCAACTTTGGGTTTGGCTGGTTGCCCAAAGTTTTCTAAGGTCTGGCCTTTTTGAAACACCACATCTCGGCTTCGAATGACCTTCTTGTTTTTCGAATCCCACAATCTATATCCAAATTCTTCATCTCCATAGCCAATAAAGATGCATGGAGTAGTTTTATCATCCAGCTTCTATCTGTGCTCCTTGGATACATGTGCAAATGCTTTGCACCCAAACATTCTTAAGTGAGAGTAAGAAATCTCCCTTCCAGACCATACTTCTTCTGGAATCTCAAAATTTAGTGGAACTGATGGTGATCTATTGATCAAATAGCAAGCAACACGAACAACTTCTCCTAAAATGGCTTTGTCAACTTTGCCATTTTGAGCATACATCTGACTTTCTCCATAATGGTTCGGTTCATTCTTTCGGCTACACCATTGTGTTGTGGGGTTCCAGGAACAGTCTTCTCATGTCAGATGCCACGAGTAGCACAGTAGGCTTCAAATTCTTTTGACGTGTACTCGCCTCCATTGTTTGTTCGGAGACACTTCAGCTTCTTTCCAGTTTCCCTTTCTAGCATAGCATGGAA